AACAGTGCAGAATGTTCTAATGGCGACTGCTGAATTCCACTGAGTAAAAGTTTAATTTGTGGATCTCTCCGGAAATTAATTGGTCTAAAAATAACTTTGAAGAAATCCCTAGGGTTAGACTGGGGGTTTCCATCTCTGTTCCATTATTCCCTGGTTTGTTTCTGAAACACTCACTCTTCGCCTGACTCGTCCCCAGTCGTCTCTCTCTCTGTCTCTCCTTAGTGGCGCGAGGGGTGTAATGGGAAGGAGGAAAGCTCCCTTTTCCTTTCCCTTTCCCCCATTCTGCTCCCGCTGCGCGCGTTACGCGAAGACGACTGGGGACGAGTCCGCACTCTTCGCCCCTTGGAATACCACTTACCTTAAGACACCTTTCAAGCGTGTCAATAGATAATTATCAATAACAGCCTTATGTCGGAAGTTGAAAAAAATCCTGGAACAACAGCAAACAATAACAACAATTTATTATATCCCAAAACAAGATTATAAAGTTATTTTACAAGTTATGATAATAATGAACAAAATTGAAGGGTACTGACTTCCTGAATTTTTTTTAAACGTACTATTTAATTTGATATTTTATGATCTAAGTCAATCATACGATGATTCAAAGCGATTGTGGTAAAATCACTTGCACTTTCCTTGCACTTCTTACTTAGAGTGTAAAGTTATGTTAATCATGTTTCATGTCAAATTTTTAATTTGCTGCTTCACAAATAACTTGCTGTTGTCATGTTAACAGATGTTGTTAGAAATTGCTTGTTCCACGGGTACCAACAAACCGACCATTACCTACAAATTAGTCCTAAAATAATTTAGTAACCGCAATCAAAACAATCTCTATCGAGAATTGCTTCAGTATTCGCTTACTACACCTATTTTTCACCCCATAAAATTTATTTTAATTTATATCAAACTAACTGAAAACAAACTATTTGTTTGAAAACTCAGTTATCGGTTCGTTTCTTTGACAGTCAGCTGGGGTCACGTGATAAATTATTTAGCTATCCCATATATGGTGATCTCAAATTTGCGTAGGGCGACTGGTGGAAACAAGGCTTGACTAAAAAGAACGGGTGTCTCTTTCTTGTCTTGCTTCCTAGTGTGTTTCGATTGTTTGTAAATCATGACAGGACGAACTTGAGAGTTAGCTGGTTTCGTGTTCATTTATCAAGATTAAGAATAATGTATGTTGCACGGGAGTCTGTGATCGATCAAAAGAGTTTAATCCCGCCATACGGCAGCTCAGTGTGACATCTTAACCTGTAGACGCCACCAAAAGAGGATTTCAAAATTGAGTTATGATCGAAAAAATGGATTGAAATGGTGCTCTGGAAATTGGATCCTGGCGGGAATTTCAGAGAATGTTTCGTTCTCTTTACTGTATTTGGCCAAGAAAATTGAACGCTCCTTCTTTTTGGCTTGTCTCGTTTTTCATAATTTGCGCTATTTTTGTGTTTACAAGAGACGATAATCTACAAACGATGTGCCTCAGGAACCGCCAGCTTCAAAGTTCAAGTTACATCGATGACTTCAAAATGTTAAATTCTGACGACTGTGAGGACAGAATCGAAGCAAGACAAGAGAATAACGCGGCAAATAAAACCTTGAAACAAGACATAAACTGCTCCTACATAATTGCTGAAAACGCCATTTTAAGAAGAAAATTAGAAATGTTCCAGCGATTGAACAAGTTTATGGAACTTGATTCCACGGCAAGCAAGTACGGAAGTAAAATACGGCAAAATATTTTGATCATTTCTGATTTTGCTTCCGGGAGTTCTTATCTTGGAGAAATTCTCAACCAGAACCCGCAGGTATTTTATCTCTACGAGCCACTGAAATCATTAGAGTACTACCGTGAAAATAGGCCAGAGAGCGTCTATGATGAGATGGTAACACACTTGTTGAACGGAATTTTTCATTGCAACTTCATGGAGCTTACATACTATACAAACTTTTTATCATTTCAGTACAGCTCATTGCGACATCGACTCGCCAGTCGAGCGTTATCTTCGCCCCCCTTATGCCCAGATAACATTAACATTCCTCATTATAGTATTCGTAAGTGCGCGCCATTGAGACCACAAGCAACCTCGGCGTTTTGCCGTCTTCACAAGCACACGGTTGTTAAAACAATCAGGGTAAATTCAATTCATAAACTCTCTTATCTTGTAGACAGTATAAGACCAGTTGATTATTCACTAAAAGTGGTTCACTTAGTTCGTGATCCACGCGCGGTTTTGAACACGAAAGTTCTGGACAGTTCAAACGAAAACTGGACGGTGAAATCGGTGCGCGAACATGCCCAGTCCTTGTGCCGTGACATGTTGCGTAATGTCAAGTACGCGGTAAGTGCGCCTTCTTGGTTACAAGGGCGTTATACGTTGCTAAGATACGAGGATCTAGCAACAAACCCGCATCAAATCGCAGAGCAACTGTACAAGTTTATTGGAGTGAACATTGCCCCTGAGGTGCGATTATGGATTGATCGCACGTTGCAAAAGGGATTTGCAAGTCCTTCCGTTAACTCAATTTATCGCGAATTCTCTTACAGCATGCAAAATCTACCTGACTCTGTGCAAAAATGGCGCAAGCAAATGCCTTACTCAATTGTGCGCTTAGTTGAAACAGAATGCTATGAGGTAATGAATCTTCTGGGGTACAAGATTGTTGAAGACGAAGATGAACTAAGGACGGTGTCTTTCCCGCTAACAGATTAGCTATAGTATATTACAGCATCATACTTTTTCTTTGTGTGTGGTCCTTTAGAGGACTTGGTTGATCAGTGACGTCATCGTTCAAGCTAGATTCCAGGAATAACAGGGCCAGTGTCGCTGTCGATTTATTGATTTTGCCACTATGTTAAACTGGTGCTTGTAATCTACCTAGCACCTGTCCTAGATCGCTCCTTTTCTCTCAGTTTGACCGCTCGAATCTACATTTGGCGTTTCATTGACTAACAAATGCCCAGATGTAAACAAGCCGATGAAGCCAAACTCGCCCCAGGCTACAGAAAAG